ATTGATAAATCATTACTCGTTAATAAAGCTTAGGTTTATCCAACGGGTATTATCCACTACACATATAAGATAAATATTAATTCTATAGAGTTTTTAAAAAATAGTTTCAGAGTTCATCTCCAGACAAAAAAAATGACTTCAGACAGATGAACATGGTTATTCCAGAATACCCCCAAACTTTGAACATGGGAGTTACCTGCCTTAAAAGATAACTTAAGATATCCATTGTATAAAATTTTGGTGTATTGAGCCACCTTAATTTAGAATGTACATTTACTCATACAGATTAACATTCATGTATTATATTCAACAAAACATGACTGATCACTTGTTTTTCAACACAGGATTCTGCCACAGGGTTAGTAGTGCACAAACAGCCCAGATCACATATAACCGATCCAAACACACTAACAGGAATACAACCAGACAATATTTTGAAGGTTCTTATTTTCCTAATTGCCCGTTCAATGTGAATGCGATGGGCTGCTATTTTCTGTGTAATTTCTACACCTGCTTGACACATTTGAGTACATGCATTCACAAAAGATGGCAAGTTAAGATGCATACAAATATTCTGAAATTCATAAGAAATTGTAAAACCTTTGTCTGCCATTACAGAATCTCCATGTTTAATGTACCCTGCCACAATGAACTGCTCTAAGGGTTTATAATACCCTTTACTAACAAATACTATGCTTCCCATGGTGTCACATGCTATCAGTCCTTTAGAGTTATTGCGGACTTGTAATCAGAGTACATTTAAGACTGTAATTTCAATGATGATGGTTTTTGAGTCTTGAATTCCGTGCATCAATGATGGCTAAAGTTTCAGGAAATTCTGTTCTGAATTGTGACGGCATGTTTTTCATGATGTCATTTCTCTGTGGCCATATTGATATAAATCCTAGGATCAAATAATGCACCTCCAATTTTACTTTTTGATCGGACACTTACGTCGTGTCTACCATAGTAAAACAAAGACACTGCCATTTTTTCTGTAATATTGAGGGGGACCCATCTCTTATCCGCAACTCCTCTTGTACCACTGAATAAAATTTTATGATACTTTCATAGAATCTATATTACATAGTGCCATTTTGCACTTTCTATTTTACTTTTTGATCGGACACACATTTCAGTTTTCCAATAGCACAACATAGAACACTGCCATTCTTTCTTTAATATTGAGGGATACCAATCTCTTATCCGCAACTCCTTCTATACCACTGAATAAAATTTAATGAGACTTTCTCAGTATCCTTATTACATTGTGGCATTGTGCACCTTCTATTTTAGTTTTTGATTCGGACTTTTGTCATTATAAACATATGGGAGGCTCTGTAAGCTCTGTGCTCAAAATGTCTCTAGTTTCAATATAGACATCCACTTCAACAAGGGAAATTGTGTGCACTATTACTTTATTATGATAATCTTTTGTCAACATTTGCATGGTTAGCTTTTCCTCTGTGTTGCTATGCATCTAATACACAACACTGTGATTACATTTTCATGTAATTTACCATGCACATCCATATATGTCACTATCTAAAAACATTGTTGTCTCCAATTTTCTAAGAGAAAAATTGTAAAATAGCATGCATTACTCTTTACGCTACATTTCAGTCTTCATAAAGACATTCACCTCTTCAATAAAAATTACTACAATAGGTATTAAACTACAAGTAGTTGTATTTTCAGCTGTCTTTCGGCATTTCTGATCTTTTCGAATGTTTTCCTCAGATATTTCATTTTTATATAACACCATTTAAAGAATCTTCAATATCATGTCATATTTACTTCTTTCAAATGTTACCTGCATGCAGGTACTGTAAATTTCACTCATATGAATTCCTTCTGTTTGAGATACAAATAATAAATATTTTCAGTCATTCTACAAAAACATGACCAATTAAGAATTTTTCATGTCGCTTACAAATTTACCGTTGTAATATCTTAACTATAAATTTAAAGGTCGATTTCAACACTTAGACTTAACATACACACATGGTTTTCTAAATATTCACTGATATATATGCAGTTAAAGTTTTGATATGAACATAATGTAACGTTGAATTCGCTTCATTTATTTTTACAAATTTCAAGATGAAATTTTTAGCCGTAAAATCGTTCCTAATAGATTGCAATGAATGTTTAAAAATGTCTTTTATCCTATATAAAAAGAAATTAAAACACTTCTCACAAAGAAATGCATGAATCTCCTTTCATGCGAAATCATAAGCATGTCGCTTAAAATCGATTAACTTTCGTAACGATTTTGTTTTAAACTTTCCGCATAGAATGCAGATTTCAAAAAGAACTGAAACTTATCTGAAAGTGACCACGGAACCTTATACCATCGATTCTTGTTACGAGTCAGCTATTTTTGACGAATACATTTTCGACATTACAAAATGAATTCGACAAAAACAGTTGTCTCTTTTAAAAATTTAACCTCCGTAACGGTAATTCAGGAAAGTTTTTGCATTAAAGGTATAATTTTTTATTATTATTTTGGGAGCGAAATGCTTCATACTTTTGTTTAATATCCTTAAACAAACTTTGATTTTAACTATTGAAGAGAACTTTTATTGCTGGGAATTAACTTCCGTAACGATTAACTTCCGTAACAATATTTTCCCCGAAAATTTAATTTAAATTCGGATCCATGCGAGACTTCATGAATCATACTTTAGCGTTCTTTACTGAACATCAGAAACTAAAAATTGGTCAAATTCAGCTTTATTTAAAAAACAATAAGGCTTGATCAAGCATTAACTTCCGTAACATTACCTTAAAATCAATGGTATCTTAAAATTGTTGTAGTGAAAGAAAAAGTGAGCAAGCTCACATACCCCACGCTCCCCCAAAACTCAACAATGCAACATGTACTGAATAGCACAGTGCATTTTAAATACACAGTATAATTCAAAAAGGGGCTTTACTTGCAAAAAATCATCACATCAAAACTTCTTGCATATAAGGACATTCAAATCTTTGCATGTTACAAATTTAATTGGGCTGAAGTTTCTAGATAAATAATGGAATAAAAATTTCTTGGTAATATACAAATCTATACATTATGTCTGAAATACCTACAAAGTTTCAGTAAATTCAGTGCAGGAGTTATGCTGACAAACTGTTATTTAAATTCCTCAGTGATTTCGATTTGTTAATGAGTATAAGTCCAGGGGGGGGGGGGGGGGGTGAGAACTATCCAAGATTCAAAATTTTGTGTGTGTGTGTTAAATCATTAATATTTTGATCTCAAAATCAATAGGGGTCTTTTAAGGTCATAAATTATTTCACATAAAATGTCATTACAAAGGCTGATTCCAGTGTGGATTTCCTTATTACCTAGCTGGAAAGTTTCTTCAATAATAGGCAAAACTCTTAGGGCAAAAATAATGGAATCGGAATTTCCTGGTAATATGCACATCTACACACTGTGTCCTAAATATCTGCAAAGTTCGATGAAATTCTGTGCAGCGGTTTAAAAGGAGTTGTGCTGACAAACTGTTCATCTCTATATTCAAGATATGGCCAAAAATCTAAGTTGAAAAGTGCCGAAATTCCCAGAAAAATAATTTAAAAGGAATCGGAATTTCCTGATAATATGCACACCTACACACTGTGTCCTAAATATCTGCAAAAGTTGACGAAATTCTGTGCAGCGGTTTAAAAGGAGTTGTGCTGACAAACTGTTCATCTCTATATTCAAGATATGGCCAAAAATCTAAGTTGAAAAGTGCCAAAATTCCCAGAAAAATAAAGGAATCGGAATTTCCTGGTAGTATGCACATCTACACACTGTGTCCTAAATATCTGCAAAGTTTGACGAAATTCTGTGCAGCGGTTTAGGAGGAGTTGCGCTGACAAACTGTTCATCTCTATATTCAAGATATGGCCAAAAATCTAAGTTGTAAAAGTGCCGAAATTCCCAGAAAAAATAAAGGAATCGGAATTTCCTGGTAGTATGCACATCTACACATTGTGTCCTAAATATCTGCAAAGTTTGACCAAATTCTGCACAGCGGTTTAGGAGGAGTTGCGCAGACAAACTGTTCATCTCTATATTCAAGATATGGCCAAAAATCTAAGTTGAAAAGTGCCGAAATTCCCAGAAAAAATAAAGGAATCGGAATTTCCTGGTAGTATGCACATCTACACATTGTGTCCTAAATATCTGCAAAGTTTGACGAAATTCTGTGCAGCGGTTTAGGAGGAGTTGCGCTGACAAAAAAACAGGACTGACGGACTGACTGACTGATGGACGGGTCAAAAACATTATACCCCCCGCAACTAGTTGCGTGGGGTATAAAAAGTAAACGATACCAGATATGTGGACAATTCTTTGTTTTCAAGTTCACTGAAATATCCTTTAGAGAATTAAGATGATCATTTTGCTATTTGAAACAATTATTTTTTCATGTTTTATACTCTGAATTGGTCCATTTATTGTAGAATGACTGTTTTTTCACTTTCCATTCTTCTGATGAGTGGCAAACAAGTTAAACTTTAAAAAAGTATGATGTTTTTGTACAAAGTCTTAAAATGCATGGTAACGAACCCCCCCCCCCCCCCCCCCCCGAAAAAAATGGATGGGAACCTTTATTCCTTATGCTTTTAATTTCTGTAGATATTGATTATTTTGTCAGGCAAGCTTTTTAAAAAGCTATTACTTGGTTTGAATGACCATTTTAAAACGACGGCACGAATATAGCAAATAACGAATCAATGGGTATGCAACCATGTACATGCAATTTGTTTTTCATAAATGTTAATTCTTTATGATAGTTAAATTGAAGTTATTGATTGTGTAACTTTACACTAGTCTTCTGTTGCAGACTGTTAAAAACGTGCAAGTATTTAAAGGTATGCACACGTTTTTTTTATCTGGCAGTATCGTGTGAATAAGTATACGATAAACATTTCGTGCGACAAAATTGGCTGAGGTGTTCTCCAGGGTATCTGAGACGTTTATGTCAGTTTTAGTGTAGAAAATGGCTGACACGGTAAGATGCATTTCAGACATATTTGTAGTGAAAAATTAAATAATAAATTGCTTATTAGAAGTTTATAACGAATCGATTATCCATATTCATTATTGCTAGTGTATTGTGAGTATCTCTACAAGCAGTAATGACTGAATTTTAATGGTTACTAGTACTCTGTTATGTATTTTATTTTCTTTCTTTTTCATTTTATTTTCATTCCTATTTCAATCATTTTATTCTCTGTAGAGTAATAATTTCTTTAATTTCAAGGACATAAATAAAGTGGTATGTAATTTTGCCTATAAATATGTGATTGAAGCTGAAAATATGGTTAAGATACTCTAAAAAAAATTCTTTCCAAAATTTTTTTTGTTATTTCTTACGACAAGTTGGTAAACGAGAACAACCCCTTGACACCAGACGACGAAGTTAGTAGTTTGCTGAACACTTTTTTGATACATGAATCCAGTTCTAAAAAACATTTATTACCTAATTTGTTCCGTAAACGCTGACTTCTAATGTTTACGTATTGACACATAATTAATCATTCTCAAGTTCACCAAACAGGACTATTTTTAATCATTCCATTCAGATCTGAAGTTTTAAATTTTGAACTTACCAAAATTACCATACCCTTTGACGAGGAAGAAAACCTACATTTGTTCGCCAAGTATTCACCGACAAAATATGCACAAAGTTAAGGATCATATCACTTGACAACTTTAAATTTATCAATTGATCTTGTATTTAAGATGTTTAGGCTTTGAAATGCACATGATTGTAATGTTTTTGAATTGTTAACTCTCTTTATTCAATCTTTTGTGTAAAAATTTAAATCAAAATACAGTGAATTACTAATACATTGCCTATAATCTGTTTTTAGATCTATCAAAAGAAAGTTATATTTTCATCAAAATATCGTAAAAAAGAGGTCATAGTAAAGCTGCGAAAACCAACGGTACCACAATGGACAATTTTACAGATAACAGACAAGAGGACACAGTCTTTGGTTCTGTATTTGTTCCTTGATGACGGAAGAGAGACCTCCAAAGATCTTGTTTTGACTTTGCCTCTCCACGCCAAACTATCTCAAGACGTACACAACTACACATGTGAACCATTATTTCAAGGTCAATAAATTCATTACTTTTTACCTCAATATTATTTAGAAATCATACAAACAAAACATGCACTTGAAGTTGAAGTTGCAGATACTTGTAGTTCATCCAAAATTTTGAAACATATTGAAAAGATATACAAAGTGATGCTGATAAGCAACCTCTTTGTACATTGCATAATGTAAAGTAATTTTTAAATCCTAGATTACATTTTCAATCATGTTTGTGTAAGATATTTAACTTTTTTTAATTACATACATATGTAAATGGCCATACATGTATATAATAATCGTACAAAAGCAAAACGAACAAACAATAACGAGGACAATCTTTCAGATGGAAGAGATGGCAAAAAGATCATCGAAATAGTAAAACAGATTTCCAATGTGGTAATTATCTTTCTTAATTTCATTTTTCAAAAAAAAAAAAAAAAAAAAAAAAAAAAAAAAAAAAAAAAACAGTCCCTCAAGATTCTTGAATTCGACTTGATTAAACGGCTGCATAACAAGACTTCGTACACATACGAAATTGCTTTCCGTTGTCGGTATTGTTACACCAATAATTTAGTCCGCAGAAGTTTTAGCAGATGGCTTAAACAATCTTGATGAAACTTCACAGGAATGATAATCAATAAGTCTAGTTGTGCACTGGACATTTAAAATTTTCAAAATATTGACCATTGCCATAGAAACAGAGGAACTTTGAAAGATTGCAATTTTATTTTCCCCTATAAATTTTTGAAACTTTAAAGGATTATTCCTTGCTCATGTCAAAGTGGTATTTGGAAAAAAAAAAGTTTAAATGTTATTTCTTTCTCTAAAGAGTATTTTCAAACTGCTAATTGTTAATATGTAGGTGTCTCCCGCAGTCTCTAGTGTTCAAAATGTCAAAACTGGCTTTCGAGTTACCGCTCGTGACAACGTGTACGATTACGATTATGTGCTGCGTTTTTGAGCATCTCACACAACGTTTTAGTCCTTCTATAGATGAAGAATTGTTGAGGGTTAAAAACTGAATTTTAATTGACTTCATACTCCTTCTTTTCCGCGAGATCTAAGGTTTGCTATTTTGTATTGTAATTATGATATCAAAAATCATATTTTGCTGAGAGGAAAAATACGTCTGCCAATTGAAAGTAAAATTTGATTTCTTTTATTATTAAACTAAAAGATTTGAATATTTTGCAAACCTGATAAAGGCTTTATGTGCTTCCTTTGATATAAGCACATTCCTCTACCTGCAACTTACATAAGATTGTTTGATTTCAGGGGACTTTTTCTGTAGACGTGGATCACAAACCACCTTCCTCATATACCGTAATGGACCTTCATCTGCCAGACTTTAGGACGGGATCCTCAACCAATGAACCAGCAGTATCACCTTTAATCACTTCATCAAATCACAAGGGATACCCGGTTATCACAGACAGTTTTAATCTTATATTTCTGAAGGACATAGAGACAGGGGGAATACTTCTTTACACTACACAGGTTTCTCAATTTACTTTCCCTTTCCAGCTTCGTCCTGTGTGTGATTATGAACTAATGTCATTACGGGGATGTAGACTGCAAACCCATTGTTACCTTATTGCTGCAGTTGCACTTTGCTCATTTAGGACATTTAGGTATTTCAAGGAATATATGTAAAGCCTCGGTAACAACTGTCCGCACACTTTTTTTTTACCTAAAAACTTTTTTGTGACGTCATCTTTTGTTAAACCTGATTCAGCAAATTTCTTAGTGTCCTGCACTCGTCGAATAAGGTATCTGTAAGTGTCCAGTAAGATTCAACTTATTGGACAGCTACAGGTAACCATAAATGAAAACAAAGGGCTAGACAGATAAATAAATAGTACTGAAAAGCTTTTGATAAATCAATTTTTTTATATAAACTATGTAGGAAATTAGTAGCGTAAATTATAAATATTTCACCAAAAATCCTATTAAAATTGAATAATCCACGGTGAACTGAATGTCTCACATGAAATATTGTAGAAGAATCTGTGACACCGAACTTTAAATTTCCTAAATTCAATGTTCATTACTATTCATTTCACAACAATTGATACACGGAACATTCACAAATTCTTCGGGACAGAAAATACGAATCAGATGTATGCGTTTTCTTACATACCACCTTGTACTTTTTGCTTAGTTAAACATCCATTTTTCTGCCTTTACCTATTCCACTCACCAAATTTCAACTGATTCTGCGATGTAAACAATCATGTATTTTCGTTCCGTGATTTGTGCCGGTGTAAAGACGAATAATGACCCCCATAGAATAATGACCGGGGGGTCATTTTTCAACGACAAAAAAGGACCCCCTAGCCGTAGAAAAAATTAATTTTTTGTAGAAAAAGAGCCCTAGGGGTCATATTTTTATATGTGCGTCCTACAAAAAATTGACCCCCGTTGGAAAATGACCCCTTTTCCAACAGATACACAATTTATAACAGGTGATTGATGTCAAGGTTTGAACCTCAATGTTTAATTCTTCTTTATGCCCTTTTTCATCAACCCTGGACGAAAGCGCAATTAAAATGCAGTAAAACAGCATTACATTTACATGCATATTATTTCTATCGTTCAAGCCTATTGTGTTCTCAGCACATACTGAAAATCGCAAAATGACTACTATTGGTTACAACTCTTAACGTAATCTCCCTTTATGACTGTCTTCCATTTGTTTCATATTTCTGATTATAGACATTCATACACGTAGCTAAATAAGAGACAAGCGGGGTGTTCTGGCTTTTCAATGGTAAACATGTCCCTCAAAGTTTTCAGCATGCTTTGAGTAGGATCAACGTTATTTTTTAAAAAAGTGAATGAAAAAAAAAATGAATGAGATACGTTTTCGGAAATAAATACGGGGAGTTATGCAATCGGCATTGAAAGCAAGTTCTTTGACTTACCTAGATAGCCGAGCGGTCTAGCGCGCTGTTCCTGTACTGCTAGGAGACAGATTCCGTAGGTCGAGAGTTCAACCCCGGGCTGGGGCGGAAGTGGGTATCCTTATAAAAGTGAATTTCTTTGTGCTTTCTGTATATATATATATATATATATATATATATATATATATATATATATATATATATATATATATATATATATATATATTAATGACATGAAAGGTGTGTAAATGAGGTAGAATGTACCGCAAATGACATAATATCTCGTGCGAACGACATACTGTGGATATATTTCCTAATATAAAAAAAAAAGGTGAAGATATCAAACAGTGATGATTTTAAAATATCGACAAACAATTCAATTCTGTTAACAGGGCATAAAAAACGACCCCTGAAAATTGCAGAGATAGGATCAGGTGCCTAGAAAGAGTAAGCATCCCCTGTTGACTCGTCACACCTGCCGTGAGCCATATAAATAAATCAGGGGACATTCCGTTGTCGAATTTAGTTTTGAAAAAAGTCCAAACAATTGACCCAATTATAGGTTATATTTGTTGAGAGGGTCATTGATACGACCATTGAATTTACGAAACGTTGACTTTAAACGAGGTTGTTGAAACCACTGTAACATCAACTTACATGTATCTGTCAGTACCCTGCTTCGATTTAAAAATTAATCGTGTTCTTGGGTATCGAATAATTTGGTAGACGTTAACATCATATGCAAATGATAGCGGAACATTACTACATAAATAAGGAAAGTTGACGATGGAAAAAGCTGAAGTCATCCCGCTTGTCAGACAATTTAGTTGTAATTTGGTCTTTAGCGTCAATAGTCAGTAGGACGTCCAAATAGAAAGCAGACGTGGCAAAAATAAAAAGGACATCAAATTTCTGAATGTCTGAAATATATACAATCGCATAATGTGCATTCAATTTTATTTATAAACAGTGGTCTATGGGAATTTCTTTTCAGATATATAGAAGTAATAAAGAAGAATCCCAGTATAAAGTACATATGTACATTCAAGCCTGTTAACATGGTCGTCTGAGAATAGGATACATACATGTAAGAGGAATAATTTTCTTTAGAAATCCACTTTAAAACAGTGATACATTTGGCAAATAAATATGGACACATTTCAATACAATGTATATTGAAGTAGATAAATGTTTTTGATCTATCATTAAAGACAGACCATTTTATTGACCTTCCAGGTGAATATAAGGATTTATTTTTCCTACATTGAACTAAATAGATTGAAAACAACTCTGAAAAGTTATTTCACCTGCATCCGAATTCCACTCAAGTTAACATAAAATTCAGGTTCAAAGAATCGGAGAAGGGGTGGGGGATTGCTCACCCCTACTTTTTCTGAATGTAAATTTTAGCAATTTCTAGTTTGAAAATGTTCATTGAAAGTCTTGTAAACACCCCCTCTTTTTTATACAATATAGTTAAAAAATCTCTCTTACTTGAGTGGACATGGTGAACATAACATTCAGGTACATAGAATCAGGTGTGGGGTGGAGTGTCCTCCCCCTTCCATTTTCATGAACGCTATTTTCTATTTTTTCGCTTGAAAATGATCATTGCAAGTCTGGTTGCCCTACCCCAAACTTTTTGATACTGTAGAGTAAAAGGAAATCCCCTTACATCAATAGACTTTTTTACGGTGGCTGCTATAGGACATGGTATGAGATTTTTTTTTATTAATTCGTGGCCACGAAATAAAAATTCGTGGCCACGAAATAAAATTCGTGGGAACGAAATAAAATTCGTGGGAACGAAATTAATTGCGTGGCCACGAAATAAAATTCGTGGGAACGAATTTTTATTTCGTGGCCACGAATTTTTATTTCACAATTATATGTACATATAGTGTTAAAATGATAATTTGCTATGGACCTATTGAGAGTCTGTCCCATGACACATAGACACAGTTAGATTATTGTAACTGGCCCGCACTGATAAACATCATTATAAATACCCATATATTTAATTTGCATATATATTAGAAGCAGCTGAGAATTGGTACATGCATTATGAACATAGTCTAGATGTAAAAAATAATAATAATAATAAACTATCTCTTTTGCTCTGTGCCCAAAATTAAAACAAGACATTCAAGCCGATTCAATTGACTGTTCTGGAGTTTAAGGCAATTCAATGATACTGCATCCAAAATGACATCCTAACCAAATGATAAAACAAAATGAAAGTGTTCTCTTCAGCTTGTCATCATGCTACATGACACAGCATGAAGTCACGATTTTTTAGATGATATGATACACAGGGACAATTTTATATTAGCCAAGTTATGTATTTTTCTTAACTACAATAACTCTGGCAAGTTTTGTTCCTGATATTAGTCAAGGCAACCCGAACATTAATGACTTTAAAGGCTTATTTGCTGTTTTCTCACATTTTCTATTGAATCCTGTCACATAGTTGTAATGAAATAAAGACACAAAATCTTAGCATGTTAGGAGTATAACTTCTCATGTGAAACATGTTCTACGTAACAGCATCGAATCTCATTGCTCATTACACATATATCCCGTTGGCTCATTCCAATTAAATGATAATTATATATAAGTTCGTTCATCTTGAATGACATAAAACAGAAGAAGCTAAAAATGGCATTATGTAGCACAAATTTATTTCGTTCCCACGAATTTTATTTCGTTCCCACGAATTTTTATTTCGTGGCCACGAATTAATAAAAAAAAAAATCTCATACCATGTCCTATACCAGCCACCGTACTTTTTAAGGGGTTCATCAAGATATATTTGGGGTAAATTGTCATTTGGCCTCTTATAATGCCCCATTTCCCCTTTCGATGCTATGCCTGACATTTATTTTTCTACATTGCACCAAAACTAGATTTCAAATGCAAAATTAAAACTGGTCATGCTTATTATGTTAACTCCGATTCTCTCACTGTGTTTGGCGAGGACTTGAGCAAATGTAAACAAGAAACTTGACGTGTCTTCTTAATCAGTTTGTATCAATTAAATCGTTGAATCATATAATAAAACAATTACTGCTGTTTTTTCTGTCAGTACGATGATTTTCTACCATCGAGAAAAACAATGTTCACCCCGCCCTTTGGGCTCGATAAATCTTTTACTATTCTAGATTCTGAATCATCGCATTAATTTTAAAAACGGCATTAATTGTAGAATGTAATGAAATCAACATATCATCGATTTATTCCCAATTTAGCTCAGGTGAGCATTTTGGTCAACAGGCCTCTTGGTTTATTATTTTTAATTATTTTTATTTTGCCCCCTAAAAATTTCAGCTTTAATCCTCTTTAATCCGCAAGGGGTCATTATTCTACGGGGGTCATTTTTCTTCACGTGGGGTATGCAGATTTTTAGGGCGATGACACTTTTTCTACGGGCAAAAGGGTCATTTTTCGACGTCGAATAATGACCGGGGGTCATTTTTCGCCGTTGAATAATGACCGAGGGTCATTATTCGATGGCGAAAAATGACCCCCGGTCATTATTCTATGGGGGTCATTATTCGTCTTTACACCGGATCATTTGTCTATCTTGTCCCGCGTTGTTTGAGCGAGTGTCTGTCGTTGCTTTAAGGAGTGGCTGGAGTAAAATCCTTCAAAACCTGTACACGATTGAGAAACTTTTGTTTCAAATTTTAAAAAAATTGAATCAGAAATAATCTCCCAATTTCACAAAAGAAATGCCTAAAGAATTATTGG